TTCAAGGAATTTTTTACAAACCAACCTGTAATAATTAATTGCTTTTTCCAATTTGCTTCTCTATGGAATTAATATGACTAATTAATGAAATGATGTCTATACATTCACTTGAGAATTTTGGATAAATACAATTAAGTCTTGTCAGTCATCTTCCTGAGCTAATTGTGTATTTTGGAGTCTGCCACTTAAGGGAACGCATTCCACTCTGGAATACATTCTATGAGCTACACATTACGCTGGAGCCTCCTAAGAGCATAAATATGATTGAGACACTTATGAAGCTCTCAGTTCAGTGGGACACTTAGTAAGATAATTAGGTATTTGAATCTGATTCATGCTGTGAGACAATTATAAACTACAAGATAGGAGGTCAGGGCCTTTTCGTCTCCAACAAATGATTTAAGTATTCTCTGAGCATAAGTAATAGCAGGAAGGAAAGTAAGTATATGACCATGTGTCTGCAATTTTGCTTTGACAGCAAAGAGGGGCACTTTTAAAAGCAGAGCAGTCCTTCAAAACCTTCTAGTGCTAGTTTCTGAAGAGCAACATACACAAATGTATAAGATGAGGAGGCTTATGAATCCTGACAAATGATCTCCTGTAGTTCTTTTAACATATTTTTAATAGCAGATTAAAGTCTGTTAAATCCAACATCAGTATATCTCCCACTGACTGCTTTGGTTTTCCTGTGGTGAGGCCATTCCTTCCTATTTCTTTGTATATCTCATACTTTTGATAAAAATGGATATTAAAATAATGTAATATAGCTACTATAGAAGTCAGATCTCCTTCATCTCTCAGGAATTGCTGTTTTTAATTTTTTTAATGCTTATTTATTTTTGAAGGAGAGAGAGAGAGAGAGAGAAAGAGAGGGAGAGAGGAAGAGAGGGAGAGAGACAGAGCACACAAGCAGGGGAGGGGCAGAGAGACAGGGAGACACAGAATCTGAAGCAGGCTCCAGGCTCTGAGACGTCAGCACAGAGCCTGACACGGGGCTCAAACTTATGAACCATGACATCATGACCTGAGCTGAAGTCGGACACTCAACTGACTGAGCCACCCAGGTGCCCCAAAGTACTTTTCTGGACTAATTCTGCCAAGTCTGTATTCTTTGTCATGTATATCCATGGAAATCTCTGTTGGGTTAGCTCAGTGGTCAGCAAATAATTAGACAGTGAATTCCTTAAATACCTTGAACTAGTTAAGTGATCCATCATTTGCCAAGGGAGTTTGAGTGCTGGGGAACACCTTCAACACTGCCAGTTTACAATCCTGCCTTAGCCTGTACTTTCTGCTTTGAACAGAATCAAAATCAGCCCATGGTGAGAGATTAGGGTCTCCTCGGGTCTTTCCTGGGCATGTGGACAACCTTGTACCTGTATGTGACCCTCAAGAAATCCAGGAGTATATTAAAAAATCATAACTTTTCAAAACCACCTATCATAATCATATTTCACAAATTTCCGTTTTAAATTTTTTGGCCAGGCTCTTGCTTGATCCAGCGGTATTTCTGTCTCAGGCAGAGGTGAAACATTTGCTACTCGTTGTTTCTGACAAACCTTCTGAGGATAGGGCTTTTCCCACTAAGCAGGCTCTAAACAAATGGGGAGTTTCTGGGGAGCGGCCAGATAGGTTAAACAGTAATAATTCCCTGGAGACAGGTTTTCTTGTGGCGCTCCAAATTTAGTCTGCCCACTCCAGTGGCTTCTACGTTGCTGGTTTTCATAGCTACCATGATTGTGAAGACTACTATTTTTTGTGTTTTTATTTTCAAATGTTTACTTCTTTACTTTTGAGAGAAAGTGAGCAGAGGAGGGGCAGAGAGAGACAGAGAGAATACCAAGCAGGGTCCACACCGTCAGTGCAGAGCACAGTGGGCTCATGAACCATGAGATCATGACCTGAATTGAAGCCAAGTGTCAGGCGCTTAACCAACTGAGCCACCCAGGTGCCCCAAGACTGCTTTTTAAAGCTACTATGTAACTAGGGAGAGGGGATGGGAATAAAGCAAGTTAAAAATCTAAAGACTTGCTGTTCTTGGTGAGATTTAACTATTTTTGCTGCATAAGTACTCTTTGGGTTGTTGAAACCCCTGGTTACATCGAGAGATCTGAAAAAGTTGATTTCAACAATTTTTGCCAGTGTTGTCATTGCCCTTTATGGAAAAGCTAATTTGCAGAGGTCTTCAGTCTATCATTCCTGAAGTCCTAGACTCTCCATTTCAAAGAATATTAATATTTGCCCAATTTCTTATTTATTTATTTTGAGAGAGAGAGAGAGAGAGAGAGAGAGTGAGAGAGAGCAGGGGAGGGGCAGAGAGAGAGAGAGAAAGAGAATTCCAAGGAGGCTCCAAGCAGAGCCCAACATGGGACTTGATCTCATGAACTAAGATTATGACCTGAGCTGAGATGAAGTTAATAGTCAGATGCTTAACCTACTGAGCCACCCAGGCATCCCCCAATTTCTTTTTAGTACATTAAGTTTACAAGTGTAAACATTTAATCTACATGAAATTCATTTTAGTACACAAAATGCAGAACAAAATGAGCAGGGAGTTGCAATTATTTTCATTTTTTTTTCTGAGTTAATTTGTAAGATACATTTGAGAATGTAATAAAAACTATGGACCATTTCTGCAGAAAAATCTGCACACATACATACTTTTGCATGCTTTCACTAAATTCAGACTGTATGGGCCCCCTGCCATACAACTCAGATTAAGAGATTTATACATTACAGAAAAATCTGTGTGTCTGTATTCCATCCTATTCCATTGGTCTATCTGTTCTAAATCCATAACAGTAGCATGCAGTTTTAATTACACCAAGCATCTCTCCGCCTTAAGGCCTTTGCACTTGCTATTCTTCTGCCGGAAACATTTTATCCCCTACTATTCACAAAGTAAACTCCTCACTTCAGTGAATGCCTCAGCTCAAATGTTAACTCCTTAGATAGTTTACCTGACTACCCTAGTTACATACTGGGTCCCTGACTCTCCAGTTCCTTACACAGCATTATTTTAATACATGACACTGATCACTACCTCACATTATACCTTTAATACTTTCCTGTCAGTCTTCTTCATAAGAAGGCAGGGGAGTTGTTTTCTTTCTTACTAGAAATAAGTAGTCTCTGGAACTTAGCAGGCACTCACTTCAATTAAGTTAATGTGAAACACTGATGAGTAAATTTGACCATGTGAATTTGTTTGCTTACCCTACTGGCCTAAATAAACAAAAGATATATGAGCTTCATATGGCCCCCGAGAAACGCAATTTGTCAATCTTCTAGACTAGGCAAAGCTCTAAGGAGCGAAGGAAGGACAATTGATTGGCTGTAGTTTCTTATGACAACTACATGAAAATGAAGGCAGCTGAATACATTTGACATTACCACCTCACACCTGAAAACCTGAGAGTTAACTAGACACATTGTTCTTTCTTCTATTATATGTTTCCTGTTCAATTCTCTTAACCACAAGGCAGTTAAACACATACACACACCACACCCACATATTCTCTCTCTCACATGCACTGAAAATATGCAAACATTTGAAAGAAAATAAATACAATGCATTTATTCGTAACATGCTTGGATTATCTTCACAGTACTCTGAAACTGTGGCAAACAGTTTTTAAAGTATATTATACACCGTAGTGTTTTCCAGAGAGAAGAATGCCCTGACAAACCAGCAGAGAAATATGCCCTTCACGATATATACTTTTCTGTTTGAGTGATGACCATGTGCTGATTTATTCATGCCCTCTTGCCCAATTTCATAGTGACTAATAGCCCACATCTATGTGAGGTTGGAGGAGTGGTCTGTGGTCACAAAAAGTCTTAAGTAAACTCTTCCAAAGCAGCACTTAACCAAAGATCTTGACCTTACTAGCATAGAATTCCAACCAACCGAACTGACAATTAAACATCTTATATACAATATGTGCTCAATATATATTCAATGATACAAACAACAGATTACAAAAAGAATTAGAAAGTAATTATTACCCTAATGGAAAAAAGCCAGGAAATAAAAGAATAAGTTCTGTACCACACGACTGTTATCCTACCATAAATACTAACTAAAGACCTGTTTAATTTTTATAACAAATGAATAACTATGTACTCTTGAGAATAAATTTAAGTGACCTTTTTGAAAAACTATGTAAGATTTATCCTGGATTTTAAAAACACCTATTTCTTTTAGGACTTAATGCATTAAGATTGGCTAATTAATCATAAGAAAACCTTCCTGGTTCATTCGGTACAAGTCGTTTTAGCTACACTCATAATGCATAGTTGAATAAACAATAGTAGTATATACAATGCTCTGATCATGGAAAACAAAGACTTCTATAAATGTTATTTTTTACTTTATATACTTACTTAAGGGAAGATTTATTCAAGTATCTCATTGCCTACATAACAAAATGACCAAATACATGGAAAATAGAGTCATGCAAATTCTATTATGGAAAATGAAAGATATAATTTTTAATTGTTTACAGAGTAGACAAAAGTTATTTTGTATGCAGGCCATCCTTGGTATGTGATACATTTGATGAAACCACAGGGATGATCTGTGAGGTCCTATTAATTATCAGTATTAACTACTGATATACAGATATACATTTTGAGCATAATTAATGGAATCAACCTGTTTTCTACTCACATATATTACTTTGTATTGACTGTATATGTGGGTGTGCAAAAAAAGAAAATAAACCAGAGGTTTAACATAGTTGCAATGACTAGACACGAATTCGGATCCTGACTTTTTAAAAAATAGTTAAACCATAAAATTATAAGTTACTGAAGTTTCAATATCTGAAAGCAGAAGTACACTGATACACTAAAAATTATTATTTTAAAATATTAATATTATAGGCAACATAATTAATACTGATATGTTCATTACGGTGATTTTAAATAACAAGGAAACTTCATTTTGAGAAAAACAAGGAAAAAGACAGTACTTACAAAGAGTTAATTTTACTAACCTGACTTATTTTCCTTTGTTCTTGTATAGCTTTTTGAATTGCCTGAGATACTTTTTCTTGATCTTTTGCATGTTCAGTCTTCCATAACTCCCTTTCTTCAGCATGGGCTTTTTCCAGATTTTTTCTTTCTTCTTCTATGGCTTTTAAAACTGCATCCTTCATTGCTTCTTTCTCAAGCTTCAAAACAAATAATGACTCAAATAAAAATATTTGACTGAGTGACTGGGTAAGTCCTTGAATAAGAAAGATTTGGGTTAACCTTTAAAAGGTATAAAACTTGAATTCTATAGGGTTTAGTTCTGACACTGCTGTGCTTATGCACACTAAATACCTGGTGTAGAATCAAATTATTTGTTTTTGTACAAGTATTCATATGTTACTTCCATGGCATATCTAAACTTCAAACTAAGCTTCAGCTTAAAAGAACAGTTTTCAAACTATTTGGTCTTAGGATCTCTTTACACTCTTAAATGTTATTGACTAATTCAAAGAGCTTTTGTTTATGCTAGTTATACATTATTAAGATTACCATATCAGAAATTCAAACCAAGACAAAATAAAAATATTTATTTATTAATTCACTTTATATTAATGACATTAGATGTACTGTATATTAATGAATACTATTTTTATGAAAAATAATATTTTCCAAGATTTAGAAGTAGAAGAATATCTGTGAACCTCCTTAATATTTCACTTAATAGCAGATATTTAGGTCTCATACCTGCCTTCTGTATTAATCTGTAATATGGCTTTTGGTTGAAGTATATAAAGAAAACTCAATCTCACACTGACATATGGTAGAAAAGGGAGGAGTATTTGCTTATTTATTTATTATTTTTAATGTTTATTTTTGAGAGAGAGAGACAGAGAGAACGAGCGGGGGAAGGGCAGAGAGAGAAGACGACGAAATCTGAAGCAGGCTCCAGGCTCCTAGCTGTCAGCACAGAGCCTGAAACAGGGCTTGAATTCATGAACCACGAGTTCAGGACCTGAGCTGAAGTCGGATGCTTAACTGACTGAGCCACCCAGGCGCTCCAACGAAGGAGTAGTTAGTAGCCAGTTTATATCTTTGTAAATCTTGATGATTCCATACTGAAACTTATCAAGGGATAGCTCGTTGAGATATCCTAAAGGGTATCTCCTAAAGGGTAGTTGAGATAAGGAAAATCACATAATGGAAATAAAACTGTTGTATTCTGCTACTTACTATATTATAATCTTTTCTTGCACTTTGAATGAGTCCTTTATCTAGCATGATCTTTACAAAATTTTTATTTGGAAAATATTGATTCAATAAATTATGCATCTCCTCTAATACGCTGACACACATTTCATGATATTAGAACAAAAAAGGTCACACTTGTTAATATCACCATCAATTTCATCACAAGAGTCTTTAAGTATCTGAAAGCAGATACAAATTTTCCAAAATTCTAATTTTGCTTTAATGCTCAAATTTTATCATTGGCAACAAAAACTGTTAATTTTCTGGAGATGCTGGGCTTACTCGGTTTACTTTGGAGAAAATGCCTGCCAAATACTAAAGTCTGCATAACCCTTGTTATTCACTAAAATGGTGTTCCATGAAAGTTACCGACTTCAGTTGCAACTCAAACATAAGAATTTCTAGAAAACCATCATACTTTGGGATGCAGTCAAGTCCATGATCCTCCCACCTCTCATGCCCACAGTTTACACTTTTCTCTTCCTTCCAGTCAGCCAAATTTGACACAAGTTGTCAAAGCAAGTTACCATTTTCTGAACTCCTGTTTTACTCTACCGTTCTTCTCTGAAACTACGCTCTTACTATGCTCACCAGTGCTCTCTGTTTTGTTAAATCCAAATAAAAGTTTTTGTTTCTTTTTGTTTTTTTAATCCTTACTTATCTTGGTGTCAAAGTGACATTCTACATAGTTGACTATTTCTGTTTCCCTTTTCTTGGTTTGCATAGCAGCAAGCTCCTCTTATTTCTACTTATATGGCTGACTGCTCGGTTCTTTGTAACTTCCTTCTTTCTCTGGGTTTTTAATTTTGGAGTTCTTTCAGGGCTCAGACCTTGTATCACTTGTTACTCTATACTCTCCTGTGAGGTGATTATACATAATTTCTGTGGCTACCATTACCATCTGTCTGCTGAAAGAGAGAAATAAACTATATTAGCATCTTCAGGTCATTTCTTTCTTCTCTGAGCTGTCAGGCAGATTTAGTTGCCTACTTGCCTTATCTGAATATATCACAGGCATCTCAAACTATACCAAAGAAATAGTGTCACCTTCCATGTTGTTTCTGAATCACTACTCTAGGCATTCCCAACATGGCCTCTTCTGTATTATCCACACCAAACATATATCCCAATTCCATCTCCTATTTCTGGAATTTGTCTATTTCTTTCCTTTAATCTATTTCTACTACTCTGTTTCTGCCACTCTCTATCTTTCACATAGACTTTAGACACACTCTATTAATTCTTTCCTTGCCTCTAGCCTTTATTGCCTCTAATTTCCCCCAAATTAAGGTAAATTAGCATTATGTCATACTTACACTCAAAATTACAATGTTTCTATCTTTACCTTATAGAATAAAACTCAGACTCAAAATTTAGAATATTAGCCATCCTTCAAGCTAATTTTAAAAGTAATTTCTTGTTAAAAACTCCTACGACATGGAAACACTGTATACACTTATAGTAATTTAATGCAGTCCACATTGTCTTATGGGTAATAAGTAATACATTTCTTATGTGACTGTAAAGACAAAATCATCATCATTCTTCAAGTTCCACCCCTGGCACAGTGATTTGCAAATATTAAACTTTTCAAATATTTGTTTACTAAATTTAAATTTAAATCCAGATCTCAAAAGTTAGTGCTATATATGTACTTGCTGGCATATGTATATTTAATATCTATGGACACACTACTTATAAGAGGCATTTCAAAATTGGCTTTAAAAATCATATATCTTTTTAAAACAATTTTTAATGCTTATTTATTTTTAGAGAGACAGAGAGACACAGAATGCAAGTCTGGGAGGGGCAGAAAGAGAAGGAGACACAGAATCCAAAGCAGGCTCCAGGCTCTGAGCTGTCAGCACAGAGCCCGATGCAGGGCTTGACCTCACGGACCACGAGATCATGACCTGAGCTGAAGCTGGACGCTTACCCAACTGAGCCATTCAGGTGCCCCAAAAATCATAGATCTAAATATATGTACACACACATATACACACATATATATGCACATATACACATACATTATTTGTAATGATACCTATTAAATGCCAAGAGTTTATTAGCATCCCAACATATATTCTTTTTTAACAATCAATGATCTACAATATTTCAACGTCATTCTATTTCTGTGTAATGTAAATTTAACAATAATATGAACAGCAATATCCTAACCTTAACAGGAAAAACAAGGAAAAAAACCCTTTGATTTTTCTATATTGAGGTTTTATACAAAAAAGTAGACTGACTATACTATCCTAGGAACTCAGTTTTTAAATTCTACTTAATTACAAAGAAAACCATTATTTCAGATAGAAATACCTTTGCAGCAGATACTAAAGCCTCTTTATTTCTTTGCCTTTCTTCCTCCAAACATTTTTCTAGTATTACCTGTAAACGATAAGACAGTTGGGTAGACAGTGAATGTTATTATTTGAGGTAATTATTTGAGGTAATAGAACGTGTTCTTTCTACACTCGGACCAGCTTAAAGTATTACCTTCTGTTCTTGAGACTGTTGAATCAAAGCTTCCTTTATCTTTTCTTTTAACAGTTCCTTCTCTGTATCTAGCATTTCAAGGAGCCTCTGATGCTACAAGGAAAGATAAATGGATTATGATTATGGTTCTGAGACCAATAACCTATCAACAAGGAGTACAGCTTGTAGAATCTATTTGTCTGGTTGTACTGAAGTAGTCACTAGAGGAAACAATAGGAAGATTGCTAAAATGAAGCCTTACAAGCCAAAAAAGCCCACACCGAATCCACCTTTCTCCAATCAGCCAAGAGATCTTTTTGTGCTCCAAACTCAACAAAGTACATGATATGAGATCTAACTTAGGCACAATTACTTCAAATTGGAAAACAAATCAGAAAAGTATTAAGTATCTTACATCAAAATTAAATTTAGAAAACTACTCACTAAAATGACTAATTTGCAGCAAAAGAAGCAATCAGCTAGATAATAATTGATGTTTGTTTCATATTATTTGTGTTTCTACTAAAGCACTGTTAAAGAAATTGACAGATTTATTATTGTACTCCAAGATTTTACCATAGATTCAGAAAATAAATCAATAAAATCAAAGGAATTTATGTGATAGCTAATGTTACAATATGCAGAATTCATGTATTTACTTTTATCCCATTATGCTAGTGGAAAAGCACACACAACCATCAATCAGCCAGTTATCATGGAGTAGGCACTTGGGAGTTCGGAATTTTCTGAGAAAAGTCAACCTTTGTATCCTCAATATCTTCAATATAGAGAAGCCCGATACCTGTTCTGGAACAGTACTCATGAGGAACACCCACCCCCCCACCAAAATATATTTTTCCTACTCACACAGATTTCTCATTCAGTTACTACAGGCAAAGAAGAATATTTTCTCAGATTTCTGTGATTTTGAAGCCTCCTTCAAATATGAACTTATTTGAATACCCTATATCTTATAATGGATCTATGTCTTTCAAAGTTGTTCTGATTTCAAGTACTTTTTAGGGAGGCAATCTACTTGGAGAGTAAGTGACCAAATAGTTATGCCTAAGAAGATAATCAATTATTCCAATTTTTAATTATAATGTTATTTTTTACCTTTATTTTTCAAGAAAATAAGAAAAAAATCACAAGATGTGTTTTTTTCATTAAAAGCCAATTCAAACTGTGATATAAATCATGATATGCCTATGAGAAATTACTGGTACCATATGAATTTGTGAAAAGCAGCTAACAAATCAGTAGATTTAACTCACGCTATGTAATAACTGAGACTTTAATTCTGTATTCTCTGTAAGTCTAGATGCACACACAATGTCATTGAATCGGAAAAACAAATCTAATCCTATTTAAAATACATATGAGAAAAAAGTTAAAAAATCTTACACCAGGTAAATAATTAGACTTAAAAATGGTAAATACCATTCTCATATGAAACTAAAATATTCAATTTCGGCTTTGGAAGTAGGGGTAAGCATAAGAAAATAGAACCAATCAAAACTATTGAATTAAACTATAAAATAAACTTTTCAGAGCTAATTACTTTGAAAATTATTTCTTCTTAAAAAGAATTGTTATGGCAATAGGTCACACTAATGGGTATCATTAAGTTGTAAGCAGGCCAAGTTTCTCCAGTGGTCTAAGAACTAGTTAAACAGGGTACATTAGCTAAAATGACAATGCACTGTTTAGAAAATTCATTCCTAAACTTTATTTCTTAATTCTGATAGTACACTATAGTAGAAGACTATTTTTGAGCTTTCTTCTATAAGAATAAGCCCTAAATTACCATTGGAAAGGAGCATCCTACATAAAATATAATTACTGATCTACTTGAGAACATAAAATTAAGTTATTGACTGTTTTTATACATATAGGTAATAGTGGTTACATTTTTGGAACATTTTTAAGGTGTCAGGCATTGTTAAAGGGGTTTTATATGTGGCTGTATCACATTAAATCCATAACAAACTAAGTCAGGCAATATTCTTTCTTGTTTCAGATGAGTTATCTGAGACTTCAGAGAAGCTAAATAAATTGCCAGGTCTCTAATGAATCACTTCAGCAATAATCATATCTGTGTACTCATTATCAACAGCAATAATTACCTACTAGCTAAAAGTGGCCCCAGAGGTACCTACATGTTACCTAGTAACTATGAGCTACAAGTTGTAAAAGTTATCACAACTTATATGTCAGGTAAGGCCTCACTTGCATTTGACTAATCTATGCGCTTCTGATTTTGTTCTTTTCAGAGTAATATTAAAATATGATAGTTTCCTGAATAAATATTAATTAATATTAGGGGATGATTAAGAAATGTTAAGTAACATGAGATAATCCTAAAATTAAATCCTAAAATTAAACACAGTTGATTTGTAAAATGACGCGAATCGAGAACAATATAAGGATGCGTCTTTGGGCACTTGTACAATTATGACCTTATGAAATATTCCTAGGGGTGGTATTGGTAGGTTGATAACTGAGCCTGGTTTGTTTTCATGCGTAGGGCAAAGGACAAGGGAGATCCTCTTTGGAAACACAATCAGACTGCATGAGCAACTAACCAAGAAACTATTCCACTGTTGGGACAGGGACATCAGCAATATTTGGTATCTGCTATGGGCCCACCATTGCTGCTTATCTCACCATTCTTCCTATTTGAAAAATGGGAATTTTAGTTGCATCTTTTCTGTTCCTTCTCTTCTTTTTGAAAATACTGATTCTAGTTTTTTGGAGGGAGGGAGGGTTGGCCCTGCTTTTTCTAAAGTTCCTTTCCTGTTTGCTTATTTGAGTCAGTAATTTTCTCACTTAAGATGTTTCTCCAGTGTTTGGTAATCTTTTTCAGTCCACGCATACTAAAATCTCAAACGAAAAAAGGTTGGTAGGAAATTCTGTGTATGTGGAAGAGCTTCACAGTAGGTGCAAAAAAGCTGGCTTTTTCCTGGTTGTGATGGCAATTACCAAATGTCACGTCTATATGCATTTTCTCTTGGGCTGCTCTTTTTGCCTAGAAAAAATAATTCCCCAATCTTCTCACTGGTGCTGTAAGTCAAATACCCAGCATTCTAGGAGTGACGGGCTCAAAGGGCATAAGGGTGAAAAGCTCATTGGAAAGTGGATTCTGATTTAATCTCCCAGTTTTTAGTCCCTGCCTTACTTCTCCTCTTTATGTGGTCAGAATATCATGTCTGATCACTCCTTTGTCTTGCTAGGGTGTACAGCGTCTGAATTAAGAACGATATGCTGCACGGTGACTTTCAATCATTCCTTCTGCTTTGCACCTAGTCCCTATTTCCTGAGGAGTTCTCGGGTTTTCCAGGAAAGAACAGCTTGCCTCAAATGGGTTTCACCTTAATGGACTAAGCTTACAACATTTTAGCTTCTGCTAAATCAGTGGTATTGCCTGTCTCTTATCTTTGCTAGTGTCTTTATTGGTGTTTTTTGTTCTGTTTTGTTTTGATTCCCTTTAGTGTCATTTTAGTGATTTTTTTTGGGGGGGGAGGGAGGTACAGAAAGGCAGAAGAAATGATTATATTTAATTTACCATATTTATCTAGATTTAGAACCACTTTTTAAAAACACTTAATTATATCTTATCTTTTGACTGAACTTTATGTGCCAAGCACTGTGTTAGGAATTTTAAAGTATTAGTGGGAATCCTCACAACAACCCAGAAATGTCTTATTACTTACATTTCACAGATTTTTAAGTTTAGTTTCAGAGTGGTTATATAAATTGTTTACATTCACAGAACTAACAGTTAAACTGAGACTGGGACCCATTAAGGGCTGAATAGAAAATCACAGACTTCACACTAGAGTCTCTAGAACCAAAATACAACTAAGGGCTCTCTCTGTTCCATCTCTATGGATTGTTTCTTTGACTTTCTGAGTTTCAGTCACATATTCATACTATTCACCTAGTCTTATAACTTATAGAAATAATTTGCAGATTTATAGTGATGTTTTGGTCATGGTCCCCCCTCCCCCACATCTGGCCCCTTAAGGGAAAGTAACAAGAGATGGAAAGACCACAGAAGCTAGTAGGGAAGGGGAAAACACTCATCCTTGAGGAATAAATACATATATATTTTTTATAGCAAGACTGTAGAATATTTACATAAGTGAGACTCGTCTACTGGAATGCCAAGAAATATACACAGTGAGCCAATAACTTTCCTCAGAAATAAATACCTATATCAGTTACCACATTTTCTCTTCTACTTTTTAAACTTATTTATTTATTATGTATTTATATTTATTTTTTAAAATTTACATCCAAGTTAGTTACCATATAGTGCAGTGATGATTTCAGTTGATTCCTTAATGCCCCTTACCCATTTAGCCCATCCCCCCCCACAACCCCTCCAGCAACCCTCTGTTTGTTCTCCATATTTAAGAGTCTCTTATGTTTTTGTCTCCCTCCCTGTTTTTATATTATTTTTGCTTCCCTTCTCTTATGTTCATCTGTTTTGTATCTTAGAGTCCTCATATGAGTGAAGTCATATGATATTTGTCTTTCTCTGACTAATTTTGCTTAATATAATATCCCCTAGTTCCATTCACGTAGTTGTAAAACGGCAAGATTTCATTGTTTTTGATTGTTGAGTAATACTCCTTTGTATATATGTACCACCTCTTCTTTATCCACTCATCCATCGATGGACATATAGGCTCTTTCCATACTTTGGCTATTGTTGATAGCACTGCTATAAACACTGGAATGCATGTGCCCCTTCAAAACAGCACACCCGTATCTTTGGATTAATACCTAGTAGAGCAATTGCAGGGTTGTAGGGTAGTTCTATTTTTAATTCTCTGAGGTGCCTCCATACTGTTTTCCAGAGTGGCTGCACCAGTTTGCACTCCCACCAGCAGTGAAAAAGAGATTCTCTTTCTCCGCATCCTCATCAACACCTATTGTTGCCTGAGTTGTTATGTTAGCTACTCAGGTATGAGGTGGTATCTCACTGTGGTTTTGATTTCTATTTCCCTGAGGATGAGTGACACTGCGCATCTTTTCACGTCAGTTGGCCATCTGGATGTCTTCTTTGGAGAAGTGTCTATTCATGTCTTTTGCCCATTTCTTCACTG